CATTGGTTGCTTTCGAAGGCTGGAAATTATGGTAACTAGATGTGAAGAATGCATTCCTTTATAGAGAGTTAGATCGTGATATCTTTATGGAGCAGCCACAATGATTTATTTCTAAAGAATTTCCTAATCATGTATGCTGGCTTAAGAAGGCTTTGTATGGCCTCAAGCAAGCTCAGCGTGCTTGGTTTGGTAAGATTGCTCAATATCTTGATTTTTGTAGGTTTAAGTCTTCTAATGCAGACCCAAGCTTATTTATCAGAAAAACATTTGCAATGTGCATCATGCTTCTACTTTATGTGGATGATACGATCATTACTAGAGATAACAATGTTGAAATTAACTGTCTTCAAGATGCCTTGTCTACTTGTTTTGAAATGAAGAGTTTAGGTGAAGCTAGCTGTTTTCTTGGCCTTGAAGTTAAAAGGTCAGATGGATATTTCATCTCTCAAAAGGCATATGCAATAAATTTGTTAAGCCATTTTCGCATGGAGGAGTCAAAGGCAATGACCACTCCTATGGAACCTTGTTTGAAGTTAGCTAAAGGTGAAGGAAAATTACTGAAAGATGCAATACCCTTTTGACAACTTGTTGGTAGTTTATTCTATTTAACTATTACAAGGCCTGACATTGCATATTCTATAGGAGTCATTTCTCAGTTTATGGACAAATCATGTGAGGGTCATTTAATTGCAAAGGATTCTTCACTACGTGAAAGGCACTCTAAATTATGGGTTATGGTATAAGCAGAATATACCATTCCTTTTGACTGGTTTTGTTGATGTAGATTGGGCTAGTAATGTTCATGATAGGCGCTCCACAATTGGTTATTGTTTTAATACAGGTTATGCAACAATTTCATGGTGCATTAAAACCTGAGTTGTTCTTTCTAGTTGTGAAGCTGAATATATAGCAACTACTATGTCTACTCAGGAATGTATATGGCTTAAGAGGTTTATTCAAGAAATGTCTTCTGGTTTGGACTATCCAGTTCTCATTAAATGTGACAATGAAAGTGCAATTAAGCTTGCTGGAAATCTAGTATTTCATGTCTACACAAAACACATTGAAACGCATTATCATTTTGTTCAAGAGAAGGTTTTAACTTTAGATATTGAACTGCAGAAGATACGCACTGAAGACCAAGTGGCTGACATCTTTACTAAAGCTTGCTAAAGCTAAATTCAAAGTATTTCGTGGAGCTCTTGGTGTTGTTGAGAGTAAATTTGCACGAAGGGGGAGTGTTACAAATTAGTGCAACTTACTGCAACCATATGTAATGTGAACGAGTCAAAAAAAATTAATAAGTTAGGAGTCAGTTAGTGAAATCGGTCTTTTGTTTTTTGAATAAGTTTAGGAACAAGTAGGTTTTTTCAATTTGATTAGTTGAGAAACTTTAGGAGAATTTCTCACTAAAAATTGCACTTGTAGGCTTCTAATTCATCACTGTAGCACTTCAGTTTCTCATTTTTTTTTTTTTGGTTCTAGTTCTTATCAAGAAACAGAACGCAGATTGAAGAATAAAATCTATTCTTTCCATCCCCTCTATTTTTCTCTGTTTTTCCTGCTTCTTTAGTCTTTTTAAGCTGCCATAATTTGCTACAGCCCCACCCAAAAACTTAACCAAACCAAAATCTACTCGCCTCTGCTACCGCCAACTACTCCCTTCACCAAGAAAGAGCAACCGACACTAGATAACTATGAAAATTATGTGTTTAAACTACAGATCTTGCAATGTAGAATAGGGAAGATGAGCAAGGATTTTCAAACAAACATTTTGTGTGCAAAATTTGGTTATAGATTTTTCACATGAAGATAGTATATCTCATGTTGTTTCTAACTAAGAGATGATTCGTCTCAAACGTTTGCACCAATTCACTTGACACCCACACGCCATCAGCGGTGTTCATATGCGGGTACGAAAGATTGGAACACGTGCAGTACACTGAATCCCATTATGCCATCCTTGCAATCTCATTCTCTTGTTCACAAAAATGGGCAATTCTGCTCCGTCCTTGTTGCGCAAAATGTTCTCATCCGCTACAGATGAGTTTCTCTTCATGTTGGGGATGTTTATTTGCATCGCAGACAATATTCTTATCATGGGGACACCTTGATGTAAAAAAATTTATGTACACCAAGCAAATTCATTTTTTAAATGTGGGATGTTACATAGTAGTTGTTTGGGCTCATATAGTTATTTAATTAGCATGAAATAATTAATAGTGACTTTAGAAGTACTTTTTTAATTAACATAACATTTTAATGATGTATTAATTAATTAATTTATAGGTCAGCCCTTGATCCTTGACCCTTTAAGTTTTTCAGGTCGATGATCGGATCAATTTTTAAAACCTTGAATGTAATATTATTTTATAGAAGAATGTATGGTTGAAATTTAAAAAAAATATATTTTGTAAATAATAGAGCCCAAACAAGGGCTTAATCAAAATACAGTCAAATTAATTTTTTTGGGTTGACTGATTGTCAAATGGATAGAATCAATTCATATGTCCTCTTTCTGCAATCGAGTTGAAAGGTTGGGACTCTGGCTGCAAAAATGAAATTTTTATGTATAATTTGCAAAAATTTGAAATTTTTAAGACCCGGACTAAAATTTTACCCTTTTAAGCTAGACCAAATCGGGGATTAACCCCTACTGAAATTCAGAGGCTGTTAGGGAGTGATTTTAAGAATTGATTTTTTGACCGTTAGAAGAAAAGTGGGGTCCACTCGTAAAAGAAGAAGTCAAATATGACGGCTGGAATAGTGAAATAACGGTCAAAAAATCAATTTTTTGGAGGAAAAAATCGGACCCAAACAAGCTCTCAACCTATGAAAGTAGCTTGTTGGGGACAGCTGGAGATGTTAAAATGTTGAAGATTAAAATCGACAATTAATTTTAGAGTAATACTATTTGTGCATAATGGTGTACATAATGATAATATAGAATGGATAGAGAGAACAAAAGAGTTGAAGGAAAGAAATTCAATTATTATGCCCCTGTTTGATGAGGATTAAAATTAGATTTTTAGTATATTTTGATAAAAAAAATTTAAGTGTGTTATTAAAAAGTTGTAAGACCCAGAAATATATGGTTAATATTGATTGTCTGACTTTAACTTAAATTAAAATTCAATTTAAATCAATGCCAAATAGGTGCTATAATTCTTCTCTCTATTCCACATAATCATTATTGTTATGCCTATTCCAACGAGGCTCAAAGCATTTCCAAGTGGTAGCCGCATAATAAGAGAACCTAGATCCGCACTCCACATTATCATGCACACATGACAAATGGCTGAATCCCCATGAAGAGTTGAGCCCTCGTGGATGAGGCAAAGTAGGTAGAGGTATCTAAGGGATGATCTTCATATAAGTTATTGTAACAAGTGGATGATGTGATAACTTACTAGATTGACAGCTCAACTCCATCAACAAGTTAAGTCTAGTCTCATGTGTCAGGCTTAGGGCTGCAAATGATCATAACATTAAATGCACTTCTATGACAAGAGCCCCAATTGCTAGGATAAGGCCATATGTCACTTCATCCAACAATTTTTACTCACCATCTTTTATTGTAAAAGCTCATACCTGGTGTCATTTTAGAGGTAATGCAATTTTACACTCTCAAACCATAACTTTGCTATATCAATATTTTCTCTCTATTTTCCTAAAGCCAACCCTCTTTTCACAATGGAGGCTCGCGTTTAAAGTCCTCCCACACTCATATATCTACCTCTTCAATTGACTTGATCGTTGGAATGCATTCGGCCAACTCCACCCCTACCGGAGGTCATGTGGGCTAATGGTTTGTCTTAGTGTGCAAAAATATGATTTATGTGGACGTGAAAAGTGTTGGGATCTGTTGACCACATAAGAGGTACACTTTTTTATGTCAACAATTATGTATACCATTATTTACATCATTATATACAAACAACATTACTCTTAATTATAACTCTACATTTCATCAACTTTTGTCAAAATTTGCTATTATTTTTATTGAAAACTTTTTCGAACCACCACAAAGTACATCTCATAATAATTTTAGAAAAAGGAGTCCCATATACCTTTATGGCATATAAAAATATAAAATTAAAATGAAAAATTGTACTATTGGTCTTCAATCAAATTACTAATATGCAAGTTGGTCTTCAATCCTTGAAAAGGGTGCAAATTGATTATCAAACTATTTTTATAGGATTATACTGCTTGAATAGGGCCTACGAGGCCCGTTTCAAATAGCGGGGGTCCATTTTTCCATTGCACATTCACTATCCAATAATAAAAATATTCAAATCAATGTTAAATCGCTATGCAACCTCACATCAAACTTTTTGAAACTAAGCTTCTCATTTCATGGCCTTTATTTTGACAATTTAAAGAGTTTTCACTTTAATAAGTGGTGAGATATTAATTAAAAAAATCTGCACCATCTGACATTCAACTACTCCATTCAATGCATTAACAACCGGTCAAGAATTTGATTTTTCAATTCTATTCTCAATGACAAAATTCATTTTACTGCTTTGGGGACCCCTCTCTATTGGCATGCGGACACGAGAAATTAAAGGGTAGTTTTAGAATATTAAAAATTTTAGATTCAAACTTAAGTGAAGTAGTACCTCATGATTTGGAATTGATATGACGTGTGTTTGACTACCTGGTCCATACTGACTGTACTAAAAATTGGTTTTTGACAAAATAAAGATTATCAAATACACGCTTAGATTGATGTCCCAAAAATTGAAGTTTGACATGTTCTAATGCATGGCATGCGACAATTTGATGAGGAATTGGACAGTTTTCATCATTGAGATTGATTGTGTAGCTCCAACTAAAAGTTAAAAATTAACTTGCTCTTATTTAAATGATGAGGACGAACTTGTTACGAGAACAATATGTTCAAACCCACACTAAAATTAGTTACAAGAACATATTTGTTTAGTCTAAGCTAAAAGGCTTTACCTCTTATAAATTGGGCTGGGCCTAGTCAAACAAAAATCTACATGGGTCCCGGCTATGAGCGAAACCAAAACGACGTCGCATAAAGGGGAAAGCAAAATAAATCACCCTGCGACTTTTACTAGGGTTTACGAAATCAATCGCCTCCGCCGCTCTCTAACATCAGCCCTCGTCAATGGTGAGCCGCCGGCGGTTCTCTTCTCCGTAGAAACTACTAGACGTACAGAATTATACATGTAAATCTGTTATTGATTAATTTTTTTTGTTAATGGTTGTAGGCGCCGAAGAAGGATAAGGCTCCCCCACCGTCGTCCAAGCCGGCAAAGTCTGGCGGTGGCAAGCAAAAGAAGAAGGTTGTTAATCGTTCCTCAATTTTCTTGTACATTGATGGATACAGTTTTTACTTTTTATTTTTATTAGTGCGTTTCTAAGAGTGTAATTTGGGTTTAATAATTTGCAGAAGTGGAGTAAGGGAAAGCAAAAGGAGAAGGTGAACAACATGGTTCTGTTCGACAAGGCAACCTATGATAAGTTGCTTTCTGAGGCCCCAAAATATAAGCTCATCACACCTTCCATCCTCTCCGATCGTCTCAGGGTATGTTTTTAATCTCTATTTGGTAGTGGATGGACGTGTGTGAATTTTAATTTAATTAATTTATTTTATTTTTTGTGGTACTAGTCATAAGCATTTGCGTTTAAAGTATTTTATGTCAGAAAAGTCTTAGACATCTGCCTCTTAGGTCATCTTCAACCATTGCACAAAATTTGAAATCATCTCCAACCAAATGAATGGTATATCATCGCTTTCTTCAATTTTTTATTTCTTAACAATTTGCCCTTGGCTTCATTGTAATGAGTTTTTGGGAAAAATGTATTTTGTAATACTAATTTTTTTTTTATTTTTTTTATTTGAAGAACTTGTGGTTGAAAAAGAAAAAAAGTTTTGGGACTACGTATAATATTATTTTATCGGAGAATATGTGGTTGAAAAGAAGAGAAAAATCACATTATTGAATTATTTATTTTATTACTACATTAATTACAAATAAATGATTATGTTTACTTAACGAAAATATTGAATTCATTAATAAATTAAAAAATAAATAAAATAGAACACTCAATAAAAATTCTAAATTTTCAATATTATGAATTGCGAAGTCAAACTCGTGTTTTCATTCAATTCTTGAATTAGTATATTCATTGCATAAATGATTTACTAATGCTTTTAAAAGTTCAATGTGAGCCTCTTATCCTTAATTTGTCTATGACGAGCAAGGAATTCTTGATAGCAATGGTTTTCATTTTCAACCAACTCAACTTCTAGAGTTGGTGTTTCATTAAATCTTGAACTGGTGTATCAAGCTAATGTTTGTCCTTGATTATCATGTTGTACAAAACAATGTACGCAATCATTATATTATGTAATACACGTTTTTACCAAAAAGGTGTCAGTCTTATCACAATTGCGAACTTAGGTTGTAGAACGTCAAATACACGTTCAACTTCTTTTCTACAATCTTCTTGTTTCATTGCTGAAATGCTGTTATCTGAATATCCAAATTACAAGAAAAATGTTCAAATTTGATCACATCTGGTCTATGCATAAAGATATCAAAAAATTTGGAGATGAAATTAACATAGCTACAGCAATTTATCAGAGGCAAAATGGTTGACATTGAATCATCACGGTAAGATTTGTCGAGGTCAAGGGATCGCATGTTAACACAATCAACGTCCCCTGTATTGCTTCATTTTCATTGAACATAAACGAAGATAATGTTAATGGTACTTCTAGTCAACGATCCATAGGTGTTGAATGACAACATTAGTTGGATTTCGTAATATCGAAATGTAATTACTTTTTTTTTTTTTTAAATATATTATGATGTTGAATGTAATATTTTGTTAATTGTGATATTTGTATCAAGTGTGCTACATTTTTTAAATTTATTAACAAAATCAATATTTTCATTAACTAAACGTAATTATTTATGTAGTAATAAAATAAATAACTTTTTGAGATAAATAAATTGTTAAAGACCAAAAAACTAAATAAGATTATGAAACAGTGTTCATTTGGTTCAACTCTTGGTGTTTGTGTCTAAAATTATTCTTAGTTTGGTACAAGATTTGTACCAAAATGGTGCAATGTTTGGAGATGGCCTGTTAGATGTAAGATTCTTTGAGAATAAATTGTGATAAAGTGATTTTCTTGGAGATGTGCAGTTAATTAGGAAAAAGCTATGGATTATTTTATTGAGAAAATGCATGGTTGAAAAGAAGTTTGGGGAAAACTAAATTATCAATAGTAAGTTGAATATAAGGTGTGTGATAATATCTCTAAGTACATGGTTTGAATTAGCGGAATTTGCTTATTATATGAAAATGGGTTATGGGTAATAGGTTAATCATTGGATGATATATAATTAAGTGTATGGATCTTGCAAAATTTAATTTGAAGTTAATGGTTGGGCACTCGTATTCTCTTGGTTATTGTTGAAAAACAAGTGTTGTTTATCGAGCATAGAATTCGCTGACAATAGGATAATTTTGCTCGAGGCTTGGTGGTTTCGCTTAAAGTTGTTACCCCTGTAGCTGTTGATATGGTGTGGCTTTAGTTCTGAAAGGGGTAGGCTAGTTTGGCCACCAATTGTTGTGGTTTGGTCAGTTCTAACGTTTCACTTTATGTGTCGGAGGAACATCAGGTAATATGTATCCATCTTAGCATAGATTCGAGGAAAATGGTATGTAGCTGAAATCCTTCTCTGGTATTTTAAATGAAATACTTCATGGTTCACTGTTTTGTCTGAGAAGAATGATTGGAGTCTGGTTTATGGCAGTATTGAAACCACTTCCTTTCTTGAGCATATTCGGTAGGAACTCCATAATATGCCTTCCAAGATGTGCTTTATCCCTAACCTCTACATTAGGCTATTTCAATTGCTGGTATCACTTACACTATTAACTGTTACTTAGCAATCGACTATTTTCAGTCGTGGAATTGGAAAATGATATACTTTGGAGTGTTTTTTCAAGCTTTACTCATTCCTTTGTTCAATTTGCTAAAATGGTTGAGCTGATCACATTTTCTGATTGGGTTTTTTGAGATATAACTGGTGTAGTGTTGTTGAAATCTTGACAATCGTTTTTCTTTCCCTCTATGGTTGTTACAGATTAATGGATCACTTGCAAGAAAGGCAATTAGAGAATTGATGGCCAAAGGTTTGATCAGAATGGTGTCTGCTCACTCAAGCCAGCAGATATACACTAGGGCCACTAACACCTAGGTGTCGTGTTCGTTTACTGCGACAGATGGATTTTGCCATCGAGTCATTGTTGGTTTTCTGTTTTAGATATCCTGGCACGATATGGATACTGCTGTAATACGTTTCTATTTGATGGTTATTAAGGCTCTGTTTCTTTTAGCTGGTGGTTGCTTTTCATTGTTCCAAGTGTGGCATGTTCCAGATGACGGAACCAGTTATCATTAGTAGTATCATTATCTTTGAGGCTGGAACTTGCTTTCTGCTAAAAATCAAATATATTAGGTAAAAATTAATAAAATCATGATTGAAAAGTTGATAAAAATTGTGCATCCCATGTAATGTGTTATGATTACAATTAATTGTTGATTCGACTTAATACCGAATAAACCAAACACGTGCTTCATTGATAAAGAAGTATCGTTAATTTTTTCGTGCTTGTTCCAAGTTCGAAGTACCATTTGGACAAATAAAGCAAGTGGCTTTTTAGCTTTATTTTCGTAGCTTATTTTCTAGGCAATATCCCACCAAGAAATTGCAGCTAATAGGTCAAACATATAGTTAAATAGTACGAATAGGGCACATTGCGAAAATAAGAACAAAACATACAGATCGAGTCAACAATATAACTCAGAAATTCAAATTCAATATTCGGATCTACTCCCTTTTGGCTTTGGCAAGTGCCTTCTTCCTCTGGCCAAGCATATACCCGTACAAATGAGGACTCCCCGGAACATAAATGCCGAGAACCCCAAGTGCCAAGTAATAATAATCGAAGGAAAAATTCCATTTGTTAGGCATGCTTATGCTGTATTTCAATGATTCCTTCATGTAAGGCAGTGCATTGTATATCAAACCCACTTCACTTGAAATTCCCGTAGGGTACATTATAAGAAACGTGCTGTACCTCAGCCAAAGCAGCCAGGATGGAGCAGAACCAAAAGCTTCCTTCAAACCGAAAAACGAATATCGAATAATTTCAGTAATTGACCAGCTAATCACCAATGAACTAACGAGAAAATGAGTCCGTATTTCAGGAAAACTCCACAAAATCCCCCACGCAACGTACAATCTGGAGCTAATTTGGGGCAGTGTAGCACTGACCGGAGATCTGACCAATCCAATCAGGCCGTGTAATATCTCCAATAAGGCGGCGGATTGCGCCCAGAGCAGCGGCTTCTCGACGGCGGCGTACACGTGTTCGTGGCCGGATTCCTTCAGCGTCTTTACAGAAAGGTAAAATACTTGTAACCAGCCTATAAATACGGTCCAATTGTAGATTGTGAGGTATATTCGCCTGAAAATTGAGAAAAATCCGGCCATGGGGAGTGAATTCCGGCGGGTAGATCTGAGTAAAATACAGAAAGAAGTACGGGACAGATGGTGTGTGTTGATTATATGAAGACAAAGATATGAGCGTTGAATGGGGTTGGGTGGGCCGGTTAACTGTTATGGGACCCTGGGAATAAATTATGGGCTTTGGATCAACCATATAAATTAAAGGTTGAACCCACTCTTGAAGACTCCCACTACCCCGTTTCTAGAATTTTGTGAGGAAGGTAAATCACGTGATGTATTTCAGCAGATCAGGGAGTAAGAGCTGTCTGTACATTGCTCCTACAAGAAGTCTAATTCCATGTCTCAGGAATCGAATTCCCACACAGCGACTGTCAACAAGATGTGAAATAACCTCACTCTTACCTTTTGCACCACTGGACTTTGCCTCGAAGGGCGGATCAACTATATAAATTAGTTTGCTAGTAGTTCAACTATCAACAACTTTTTTAGACGAATTTTGAAAAGGGAACCATACAAATATAGGTACTTAAAATATATAATTTCAAAATTAAGAAATATGTTTTTAATTTTCAAAAATTAGGTCATGATTAAAATTTATTAATTAAATAGATAACTAAAAACATTTTATTAACTAAATATATTAAGGTCATAGTGTTACAATTTATAGTAGGGATGGCAAAAAAATCAGCCTCGACCCGCCTCGAAAGGGGCCAAAAAACCGTCCCGACGGATTGGTGGAGCGGTGCGTAATTCACCGCCCCGTGTATTAAAATTAAAATTAACCCATAACATTACAGCCACAGCCCACAACCCATAACATTAAGACCCAGGCTTAATTTAAGGCCACCAAAACATAGCAGCAAATTTTTATTCTGTTTTCAAATGGTTTCAATTCCTTCTACTTCTAGAGAAGTCCTCCATACGGCCATTGTTAAGACTAGAATTTCTCTAAAACCAGGAAATTAAAAATCAAGAAATGAAGAATTAATAGATGCTTTAGTTGAAAAACTAAAAAAGATGGATGACTCAGAAAAAGGGAAAGAAAAAATGCCCCAAATTAATGTTATTAATATATATGATTTTGTTGATTCCAAGTCTAAAAGTCTTTCAAATGAGAGAAAGTTTTGATGAAGATTTGTCTGTAAATGATGATATCATATAGTGAGAGAGGTTAACAACATTGAAAATATGTTTTCATTAATGAAAATAAACCAAGTGAATGATAGTACCATTTATAAATGGAATATAGATGCATCCCTAGTTTATAGTCACGGTTATGTACTAGTCACAATCAGGGCCGACTTTGAGAACTTTGAGGTCCTAAGTGACTAATTAATATGAGGTCCTTGAACATAATTCTTTTTACGATTAAAACATATAAAGAGGACAACAATATGTATAACAGGCTCATAGTTGTCACAAGCGACAACAATATGAAGAGGATGTGCAGCTTGGCAAAACACGAGAAAGGATTAGTAAGGAAAAAGGATAAGGACAAGCTACTTCCTGTTAATAGTTTAACTCTACCAAAGAATTTGCAATCTAAAAACTAGATCAGTCAAAGCAACCAATAGAGAGCAAAATGCTCTTGACAAATCATAATTCTATCTCGGCTAGCACAGAACTAAAATTAGTATAAGCACAAATAGTGATGGAAGAGCATAATTAATGGTGCAGTGGTATAATAAATTTGACAAAGGGGTAGATATGTAACAATAAATTATCCCAAATGATAATTAATTAAAATCAATACACATACTAAATACAAGGCATTCTTAAATTATCCAACCAATTAGACCCTGATCCACCACCAAAATTTCTTTTGCTTACTTCATAACTACTTAGAATTGTTTTGGGCTATTCTCAAGGGCTCATCCTATTCTTTTTCCCTCTATTCAATAGCAATTATAAGCAGACAAGAATCAAGAATTCTAATAGTTTTAACACTAGCAGAAACCCATAATCTATGTATCACAGAAGAAAAGATGAGTAATTTTTAGGGGGATTTTTATTATTTTTAAATGGATTAACCAAGGAATTTAAATACCTAAAATAGAAAAACACAAAACATCCATTTGGATTTGTAGATTGCACAAATCAGTATTCTAAGCAAGCTATTGAAGAAAATGGTAAAGCAAGAAACCTCATCCGGTGGCAATAGTGGTCGGCAAAATTGGAAAGAATAGCTCAGCAAATCAAAGCTTCTTTTCCTCTATCCATGTGAATGGATGTTGGCCAAATTTTTGTTACGAGACCACCAAAAATTTGAGTCCCTAGGCCAAGTGTTTCGCGCGGGTTAGTCGCTAACAATTAAAAAGGGATCAGACGATTGTGTAAGGGACAAACCTCTTGAGACAAAGTCCCAAAAATGGATGTTCTTTTATTGGCGATGACTTTACAATTGGAAATTAAAAACAAAGTGCCTCCAAGGGGCGCAAGCATACGAGTTACTGAAAAAAAGTATTTAAGTCTAAGCTAAGGAAATTAAAATTACATGTTCTCTGTTCGAGAGTTTTTGATTCGGTCCTTTTACTCTATGTCTTTTCTCCCTTTTATACTTCATGGACGATCTCTTTGTGATCAACCGCCTAAAAACTGCTTGATCGTTCTAGAACTGCCCACTTTCCTCGTAATGGCCAACTTGTCATGAAAACTGCCTTTTTTAACTGTTGCCATTACTCTTCGTCATTCAACCGCTTTCGATTGAATTCCTTGAATCGTGGAACGTAATAGGGTTGCTTTAATAACTACTTTGATAACTGCACTACTTGATAACCACAACACTTTATGTTTATTAAGACCTTGGGCGACTTGAAGGTTTGGGCGAGAATAGAGTAACAGCTCTGGGCGATTGTATGGCACTCCATTCGCTCAGATTCTGGGCGACTTGCAAACTCAGGCGATGTCGTTACCGCGTTCTTGGGCTTTCCCATTTGGGCCTTCATCTTGAATTGTTTGATTGGGTTTCGCTCTTTGGGCTATCTGATTTGGGGATCCTCCAATTGGGTTTTATTCCTTGGGCCGTTCGATTTGGGCTGAATTTTTATGTGTCAACAATTACCCCCAATATGATAGAATTAATAATAATTATTAAATTTTGCCACATTCACTTTGTGTTTCGAGCAACATTCGAAATTCCCAAGAGTTTCAATCATTGTTTTCTTCCATCACTTGAAAAAGTGCGTCGTTTTGCAAACTCTTATAACTCCCAAACACGCCATTTCACTGCACCATTAAATCACGCCTCAAATTTTTCACGTCTCTCTCACGATTTATTGTTCATCTTTTGCTTTCCTGCTACGTAACCCTGAAAAACTTCGTTCCTTCTCAAATGGCTACTTCACAATCTCAAGCTGGCGACTCCTTTAGTTTTGATGACTTTCAGAAACTTTTGAGTCGTCCATACATAACTCCGAGTTTCTCGCGCCCGCCGATGTTGAACGTAATGAGTTCTACTTGGGTCCCTTCTTCAACAATGCAGAGGCAGTTGAACAGGCGGCGGTGGGTCAGCTGTTTCCTTGCACTCAAGGCCTTCCATTTCTAAACTTTCTGCCGCTGGGGCCACTTCGCGAAAGAGGTATTTGCACTTGGCCTAAATCTGATATAGCTTTCCGTAGATGACATGCTCGTCTTGTGGGCCATGGTTCTACTAAGGCACTTTTTGATAATGCTAGGATTTTTGATTTGTTAGAAATCTCTATTCGCCCCCCTACTTTTGATTCAACACTTTTTTCGATTGCTTTGAGTATTTGGTCTTCTGAGTATAATACCTTTATTTTCCCTCTTAGCCCCATGTCTATTACTTTAAGGGATATTGGGGCCCTAGTGAATCTACCATTTTTGAGCGATACCATTTTTCCTGGTATCTTGGTTTCTGGTGGCGCCCCAAAGTTTGGTAAAAACTACACCGAGTCTTATTCAAGCCTGCAAACCCTTCACAATCATTCAAACGCTGAGCCTTCCCATACTGAGCGAGTGGCTTTTCTTCTAGTTTGGCTTTGTAAATATGTTTTATGTGTGCCAAGCATAAAGCCCTCCCTGAGTTATTTACCCATAGCGCATGAATTGGTGCGTGGTAGGCCTTTGAATTTATGTTCTTTCTTTTTGGCTGCCCTTTATAGAGGCATGGCCTCTCTTCAAACCCAATTGAAGAATGTTGCATCTCCCACCGGTAGTGGACCTCTTTGGTTCACTCAATTGTGGTTGAGATCCTATTTTTCATTGCTTGGTGCTCCATCAATCTCTTGCTCCTCCGCTAGCTGTTATGAGCTAGCCATGGAGCCCTTGGCTCCTGTAAATATGTCCAGAAGGGACATTTTTTCATTCTTTTATTCTTTGGATTCAATCTCTTCCTTTTTTCCTTTTCCTCCTTTTTTGACTCCAAACTATGTACATCCCCCCTCCACTATAGACAGCGTGAGCACCTCCCTGCTCATTTGGATCCAGTTTTTAACCGGCTTGACTGGGACCAATGCTAAGGCAGGGATAGAAATTTATGCTCCCCAATTTTTTGCTCGCCAGCTTGGTTTCAGCCAAACTTGGCCTGTTCCTCCTTGCTATTCAAGGAATTTGATTGACCGTTTTCATACTATTAACAAGGCGGAGGCAGAGGCTATAATTGCTCGCAATCTTCTCTTAACCAGCTATTTCTCATTAGCCCCCTTCAATTCTAGCCACGCCATTCATCCTCTTTTTGAACAGCTCTGGCCGTCAGTGAAGCGCAGATTATTTGCGACTGATGCCAATCGTGCCTTTCATTCACTAGATCAGTCGAGTATTTCTTCCCCTCCTCCTATTTTAGTCACTCCTTTGTCCATCCGGAGTCCTTCTCCTCCTCGTCGCGCTAAACAGTCTGCTCGTCCATCTTCTTCTCTCCCTGTCAAGCCTACTACGGCCAAGAGTGCCCCAAGCCGCAAACGGCCAGCCTCAGCATCTCCCATTCTGGAGGATGATGTTGATGATGATGATGATGCCCCTCTTATCGTCAGGAGGAAGGTAATTAAATTGGTTTACTCACAAGCATACTTTTCCATACTTGAAACTTTTCTGTGTGCTGATGATTTTTGGATTTCTCAGAAAAGTTCAGCCTCTCCTTCA